ACAGGATGAAGTTTAACAAGTCCAGTTGTCAAGTCCTGCATTTTGGCCACAGTAACCCCCAGTAATTTTACAGGCTGTGGGTGGTGTGGCTGGACAGTGCCCAGGCAGAAAGGGACCTGGGGGTGCTGGTGACAGCGGCTGAACACGAGCCAGCAGTGTGCCCTGGTGGCCTTACAGGCCAGTGGCATCCTGGCCTGTGTCAGGAACAGTGTGGCCAGCAGGAGCAGGGAGGTCACCCTTCCCTGTACTCAGCACTGGTGAGGCAGCACCTTGAGTGCTGTGTCCAGCTCTGGGCCCTCAGTTTGGGAAGGACCTTGAGACACCCGAGCAGGTCCAGAGGAGGCAACGAGGCTGGTGAGGGGCTTGGAACAGAAACCTGTGAGGAACGGCTGAGGGAGCTGGGGGTTTACTCTGGAGAAAAGGAGACTCAGGGGTGATCTTAACACTCTCTACAAGTTCCTGAAAGGTGGTTGCAGTCAGGTGGGGGTTGGTCTCTTTCTCCAGGCAACAACTGATAGAACAAGACAGACTTAAGCTGCAGCAAGGGAAATATAGGTTGGATGTTAGCAAGAAGTTTTTTATGGAAAGGGTGATAAAGTACTGGAATTGTCTGCCCAGGGAGATGGTGGAGTCACCATCCTTGGATGTGTTTAAAAAAAGACTGGATGTGGCACTCAGTGCTGTGGTTTAGTTGAGGTGTTAGGGCATGGGTTGGATTTGACAGTCTTAAAGGTCTTTTCCAACCTCATGGTTCTGTGATTTGTAAAGTGGCACAAGAAAGGTACTCAAAGAAAATTAAAGTCAAGATTATAAACAGAGAACCTTGCTGAAAGCCAGGAAGCACAAGCACATGCAATCTTCAAGCCCTCCCAGGCATGTGTTACTGTTACATTTTAATTTCACAAGCACATACCACTCACCTGGCAGGACACCAGGACACCTGCCTAACTTAGTATTTGGTTTTAACTTACTTAACACATCATCTTTGCCATGCACAAAACACAGAACTACTCCCCTCCTCTGGTACTTCGGTGCTGAGTCCTTCAATGTTAACTTACCTTTGTATCCTTGTGGCAGTATGGTCCATTTTCTTCAAGTCAATAAATTACCAAGGTTAAGGTAAGAATTTGCACGAACATCCACTAAAATCAGGATCTTGCTTGCTCATTGCTAAACCTGGCATATCACTATCAGCTTGTTCTCTCAACACAAATCAAAAAAAAGGAACAAGAGAACCACATCAAACCTCTACATAAACTAGTCAAGATATTAACCTTCTTACAATGAAACAGCATAATCTGGGATCATCACATGCAACAAAAGTTGGCTGCAATCTAACGCAGAACCAGCCACTAACAGGCAGGGAGAATGTTTCCCTGTCATTGGAAGACTCACTTTCCAACTACATGATCAGAACAAAATTATTGCAGACCTTTATTTTTCAAAATTATGAGACTGTTTGCTCCCATTTGCCCTTATCACTGAAAACTTTTCCCCTCTTTTGTCCCTGAGTTCTCCACAACTGTATCTGCCTTTGGCACATCTGCTGGGCTCTGCCAGCATGCAGCTGCATGCTGAGGGGCTTGGTCAGCCAGGGAAAACTGGTCCCACGGTACATTCAGCAGTAAATGACCAGGTTCTTCCAGTGGAAACATAAGGTAACCATAATCACAGCCAGTGGAAACATAAGGTAGCCAGTACTACCAGTTTCATCTACAACAATGTGCTTGTTTTTTCAGCAGTTTATAAAAGGAAAGACTAAAAATCAAATAATACTCAGTTATAATTTATCTGGAACATTAAGATACTTACAAATCGCATTTTCAGAATAACTAATTCCTTTATCTCAATTATGAAAATGCATTTATTCTGTACAAAGATTATTTGTGCATGCCCACTTTGGAGGTGGACAATAAAAAAAAAAACTGAAGCAAAGAAAAATAAATGTTCACACGAGGATTTAGGAAAATAAAATTTACATTCATACTTGAGCTTCTTTCTGAAACAGCCTTCCAATGAATAAAGTAGTGTTTCTCAGCTTCTGGTAATGAAACTTGGCATAAACAGTGGCTTGACTCAGCAGGCTGCTTATAGTGAATGTCAATTCCTTACAGATCAGCTCATTTCAGACAGCTTTCATTTTCATTATCCTTACAAACAACATGAATTGTTACCTAAAGCAATATCGTAGAAAAATAAAAAATTAACCCAGTTGTTGAGGAAGAGGCCCTTCAGCCTGGCTATAATTTAAGGCAGGAAAAAAAATGTGATGCTCATGACAAGAACACCAGTAAAACCAACCAAGCACAAATGGCAAGCGTAGAAAATAATTACTGCTAACAATTCTACAATGTCCCCTTGTATTACATTCAAATTCTAATAGAACACATCCATGCAACACAGTGCATGCACATGTATTCTAAACAACTCAAAGCTCTCTTTTTTACCTATCCATGATGCAGTCACTTAAGCTCAGACAGGAGGCACCTTGACTTGCTAAAGATGGTTCTGCTTCAGCAGTCCTCAGCAGAAAACAAGGGGAGATGGAATACACAAGAACAGCACAGAGCCCCCAGACTTTAAGCTATCACACAAAAGGAACAAGGAAGCCACAATACTAAAGCCACCATGCTGGATTAAGCTGGATCAGAGCTGCACACCATCTCCTGTACTGGCTATGACGAGTAGCTGACTGGAGGAAAAGCTGCACCACCTTCCCTGACACAACTCTGGTAACACTAAGGCAACACCAGGCACCCTCTGGGTTCAGGGCCAGCCAGGAGCCCTGTGTTGGTACCTAATGCACAGCTGTGTTTCAGGACCTATAGGCTCAGAAGATCACAACTCAGGATAGTACACCACCAGCCTGTTAAACCAGTAAAACGAAATAGCTGAGGTCACCAGGCTGGTCCAAGTTCTCAAGCATGTGCAATTTCCTGAAACAGTTCTCAAGTCTGACACTTCCTGGCAGAATGAGTTTGTTTCCCTTTGCTTCCCAAGCTGAAACTTAGTATTCACAGAAAGAGTTCTCTCCCCTCATCTCCTAAGGGGAACTCAAGTTCTCCATATTGACTCAAGCTCCATCAGTCTGTTAAGCAGATGCCTGCCTGGACATCAGCAATCATCACTTACCAAAAATACTCTTTCACTTCAAAGCTGTATATTTCATCTCCATAGAAGACAAAACTAAATGAGCACTTGCTCTGCAGGTATGGAATGGCATTTCTCTATGAAAATCATGCCAGTGCCAGGGAAATAAATAGCTGCATATTAACAATATCCAAGAAGAATGAAGTCTACATAACAAGCCTACTGTTGGGTATCTTTTCAGGAATTTAAGGAATGCATGCTGCTACAGACCCTGTGAGACCTTCCACATCCATCAGAGGATCTGATCTGCACAAGGGACTACGGCAGAAGCAGAGTGTGGTGCACACTGAACTCAGCAGTAAACTCCACTAACGCACTGGTTGAAGGAGTGAGTTTTTCTTCAGTCTGAAGATCTCTCCCAGATGGCAATCCAGTAAGAGAGACCGGCCTCAGAATTTGCTTACAAATCTCCTGAGGAAGTGCAAACCTCCTGTGAGAGAAGAGTCTTTGGCACTATCCTGTGCCCCATCCAGAGCCAGACTGCTTTGCAGATCACTGCCAGTGCTGGTTTAGCAAATGCATTTCCAGGTACCTCTAAGGACAGCTGCAGAGTGATCCAGGCTACAAAACAAACCTCATTCAGTTTGCAATAAAACTCACCAATGAGCAAGAACAACAGCACGAGGAAAGATGACCAGCTAGTCAGCACATTTATTATCCTAATGAGCCAGTAATCCTTGGTGCTCAAGTGCAATAATCCTTAATCAGATCAAAAGTTCCCTGCAGCTCAGTAAATTACCTCAGCTGCTGCCTAGCAGCAAACTGAAAATGGATAAACAAAGGCATCCTTGACTAAACTATACTTCCAGTTTCTAGCAGCCAGTAGTTTAAATGCATTTACTGAAAAATAGATATTCTTTTAAAAAGAAACACTGAAGTCCCCAACCTCAAATCAAGCAGATGTTTATCCCTCACAGGCAACTGTATAGGAGAATAAAAATTCATTTCCTTCACACTTGGTAACATTTATCAAAGACTGGGATGACCATTAAAATCTTCTTCAGACTCTTGACAAGATCCAACATGAATCCGTGGACAACTTTACTATAGTTTTAACAATTTCCACACAAAGACAACTAGCTTCTTTTACACCTTAAGAGAGAAAGGCCCTGTACAAGCCAGCGAGGGAGGCCTCTGGTCTTTCTGAATAAGGTGAAGGATCCCCAGCTCCCCACCATAAACTCAGGCACCCTCCATGCCAGCAGCAGGCTGAGAGTACATTCTCCATCAACAGCAGATCAGAAGAACCAGTGAGTGAGTGATCACTACTATTTGCTTTTGAAGAGGGTTGGAACAGGGAACCAGGAATACATGGTTCTCCACCAATAAAGCCAGGAAGATGAAGAGAAATGCGACTTCAAATCATGTCTGCATGCAGCCACCTGTGATTAACACCACTGAAGTCAAGCTCTGTTAACCCAGCACTGACAAAGTATTTCCAAAGCTTACTAGTGCCCACTAAGGATATGGGCAAGTTTAGTCACCAACTTCTCAATCCTTTAACACAGACACCTGGTGAAGCAGAAAAACAAGAGAGGACTTATTCTGGGAATGGATCATGGTTTATGTATGAGAAAACAAAAAGGCCAATGCACTACTTAAATTGCCCTGGAAAAGGAACAAAGTCAAAGATGCATAAGGTTGCATTGTTTAATACTAGAGAATCCAATTTTGTTCTTCTCTACATCATCAAGCACTGAAAAAAAGGAAGAGGAACTGTACAATAAAATGCTTTCATACATTTTATGGAAGTATACTACAAAAACCAAACACTGTTTTGAGTGACATTTCGCAGGAAAAAAAAACCTAAAAGAGTTCCCACAGTAAGTGACTAAAAGTTTCTTAAGTGTCTTAAGGTGACACAGAAGAGGATGGATACTCTACTCAGCTTTGTCACAAGCAAATATAACATAAGGGAATCCAGTTCCTCAGTGGAAATATCAAATCTCATCCATTCCCACACTGGCATGAAGGGCCAACAGAAATAACAGAGCAGGCAGATAACCACTTAAGCCAGGGGCCACACACACTTATGAGGAGTCTCTGAACTGGTAGAAACTACCAGAAATTAATCCACAAGTATCAGCAGACACAAGAGGAGAAACCAGTCAGAGAAAAGTTATGAAGGCTATAAAAGTGTTTCACTCTACAAAGCAAAACCACTGCCTAGTTCCTGTTACCTGCTTTGTCCACAGTTCATTATAATCAGTGCTTCCATTACCAGTTTCAGGATATAAACTAGCAAAGAAGAAGTACCAAGTATGACTAGTACTCCCACTTCCTCTAAAGATAATTTTCTCAATTCCAACTTGTAAATTTCCAAAGTCTATACAATTTTAACACAGCTCTTCTATAATTACATTAACTTCTCAGAGAGTTAATTCCTGAGGTGACTGAAATAAAGTAAAACTGAATAAAGAAGGGGGAAAAGTCTACACCCCACTTTGAGAAATGTCAAGGAAAAACATTTTCACTTCCTATTAAAACAGTGCATCCACATATCACTATATAATTAAGCTAGGCAGAAGATCCTGTTTATAGTATGTGAAAACCAAAAAGTGAACAAACTACAACCATGTGTCAAAGTCAGTAAAAAAAAATTCAGGACAGGGAAAGGAAAAAGGTGTATAAGGCATGCAGGTAGGAAAAACATCATTACAGATAATGCAGTTTTCTTTTTAAAAAAGAAACATTTTTATCCTCTTAAATTTAGATTAGAAACTGAGTATTTAAATATACCAGGCCAAAATTAACTACATCAACATTTGCAAGCAGCTTCTAATACAAAAACTGACCTCTTGAAAAGAAATACCTATTTAAATTAACAATAAATAAAAAAGAGAAACATACCAAATTTGGCCCAAAATTGATGTCACCTTATAAAAAAAGTATTTTCCTAAAGAAATATGGACAGAATCTCAACTTTATAAATTTTTTTGCTTTCAAGTTCTAAACTGCAAATAATTTACTATAAGAAGTAGTAGAATTCAAAAACATCTTGACAGGGAAGTATCTATATATATATACATATATATATATATGTGCTATATTATAAACTTATGCAACATCCCCAAGAGCAGTTGTGCTTATGAATTAATGCTACACAGGTTGCACAACCATGGACAACATTTAAAGAACTAAAATAAACCAACTAAAACTATAAATAATACAATAATGGTTTTTAAATGTGAGATCACAAAGAAAAAGTCTTACACTGAGTAAGCAAAAGAGGTGGCTATTGCACACATATACTTCTGCTGCTATAAAAGCAAGATCCAGTGATGAAATTACTAGGTATTTTTACCTTGCACTGAAATGCACAACTGCACTGCTGCCAGAGTACATGTACTATAAATGCAAACAAACTTAGCTGTTTTAAAAACAATACCCGTGATGCTGTGCAGTGAGGCAATACTCTGTAAATCATTTATTTCCCATGTAGTGGACAAATCCAGTCACTGTAATGATTTTTCCGCATGTTGAATAGCAAAATCAAACTGCTTATTTTCCCACAAGTCACTGTGAGAATAAGGGTCTTGCTATACCCCTTAAAGCCTTCAATTTAAAAGTTAATTCTAGAAATTTGGAACTGTAACATCAGGGTCTTTTGCCATTAATAACAACGACAACACAACCAATGGCTAAAGAGCAGTTATTTGTAGAACAGTTCAACAACTCAGTTAAGGAAGAGTTTTAGTGCACTTCGCTCATTTTAGCCAACATGGTACATTGCCCCTTTTGCATACAAAGTGGACTCAATGATTTCCACTGTAAGAAAAAAATGACTTGGCAAGCAAAACACTGCGACAAGCTGCCCTTTTCTTCCTTAGACATTTTAAGACAGAAGCTTTGCAAGATATTACACAATTCTTTGCTTTTATTATTAAGTGAGAAAGTCTGATTTGTAACATTGTCACATTGCTAGTCAGAAATGCTTCAGTGATGGAAGTCAACACTGGGTCAACACAAGGCCTCATTCTACGACATTCGTTTACAGAGAACTTAAAATGATTTTCAACACACCCAACAGAAAATTCCTTGCTTCCTTCAGAGGAAAGTCCCATTATTCTTTCTGTAGTGGGCATGTTACTACACAAATGACAATTTTTGTTTTTGGACAAAACATCCCCAATCTTCACAAGAACAAATGGACTTCTACAGGTGTTACAGAAGTCTTCACACATCATCATCATCTGATGTATCACTGCTGCTTGTCTCAGAATCCTCATTCTCCAGAGCAGGTTTGAAAGTGCTGTTTTTCCAGGGGCTAAATTTAAAATTACAGATGAGGCCATTTTTCAAAATGCCATTTTTCCGAAGGCCATTTTTTTGTAACTGAAATGTGAAAACATGACACATTTAGAGAAAGAAAATGCCAACACAACAATCTGTTGCAATTCAATACTCTTTGCATCTTCACCTCTGGGCTACACTGGATCCACAGCTTTTCATATACACAGAAAGGATAACTCCCCTGTGAGCCTTCACCTCTGGCCTGCCACCTGTATCCCAGTGTCTCCAGCTGTGCTGAATTCCTGCAGTCAATGAGAGCTCACCCTGGTCTCGCCCATGTCCTCACACATCTTGCCCCAGAGATCTTTTCTCCCAAATGGTCTCTCCCTGCAATCCAGTCCCCTTTCCCACAGCGCTGCAAACATCTGTGCTAAGAAGGGCAAAGGACAATAGGGAAGGGGCCCAGAAGCAATGCTGCAGAGAAGAATGGGTATCTCAGCAATTGGAAATACAAAGATACTGAAGAAAGGAAACAGCTGATTCTGCAAAAAAGAAAGGAATTACTGCATTTTCAATATCATGCAGAATGTGTGCACTAAAACAAGCACTTGAAATTTTAATATTCCAATATTAAATTATTAATATTTCAAATAATATTGGAATTACCAAATGTTCACACTATTCTCATTTCTGATTCTTTCTCACTGACCCCACCAGGTATACTCAACACTCCTAATAAAAATAAAAAAAAAAATTAAAAAAAAAAAGAAGGAAAAGTCAAGTCTAGATTACTTTTTCATACTTTGTTACTAGTAAATTAAATGTCTCACAATTCCACAAAAAAAAAAATTTGCAGCTCTCAGAGTACCACAGAAACTGCACAAAAAACAAAAACCTTGAAAGAATGAAAGAAGACTCTATTTCCTCAGGCTAAGCAGCTTGAAAGCCTGTGCACTTTTACCACCAACAATACCTAAACTACCCAGAAGTACACCCTAACCTTCCCTTGATGCTTTGTGAATAGGCCTGAGCTACAGTCAGCATTGGTACCCGATTTTTCTGAAGCAACTATACTTCCAAAAGCACAGTACTGAAATGGTACTGCAACAGCAACATCCCTAATGATCAAAATTACTGCAGATCCTCCTCAAAGGAAGGCATCAAGGGTAACTAACTGCAGGTATATAATGGAAATTAACTTAGTTTTACCTGTTCACTAATGACTTGAAACTCCCTCATCTCATCCTCAGTTAGTGGAGCACATGTTTCATCATTTTCACTGTCTTCCTGCCAGCCCATCTCCTTTAACAACCTTTAAATTAAGAAGGACAACATTAGGAATTTGCTACACACACACAAACACTTCAAGCTCTGCCTACATACATGTCTGAAGACCTGTAACAAATGCATTGATTAATCAGCCAGTATTTTTTTTTTAACAAACTCTCACATAAGTGTAAGTTCAAAGTCTTGTAAAAGCTATGTAAAGCAGAGAAGCTGAGTTTTCAGGTCCCTTAAAGATGACCCTATCCAACCATCATATGTGGTAAAAACTTCATTCTAAGGCAAGAGATCTGTGTCAGAACAGTAAGAATGTGTTTTCTTAACATAACTTAAAGCTGTCAGTGAAGCACCAATGTATTTACTCCCCTGAGAATAATATGAAGAGACAAAGACACACTGAGGGACTCTGCAGGTTTTCCTGAATAACAAAGCAGAGCAAAGCATAAAGAATATTGGTGGTGTCCCTCAATGGAATGCAACGGCCTCATGTGATTTATTTTTTATACCACACGCTAATATCAAGAGCTGTGTCAGGTTTCTTTACAACTGAGTCTCAGCCAACAGCACATGATGGTTTTTCAGCTCAAACAGCTAGGAGTGGATTTTGGGATAAGGGGAAGAAATGAGGAAAAGAATCCTCTCATAACTAAGCTTAAGATATACAAAGATGCAATAATCAGCATGTCTTGGCTAGTTCCTAAAGAAGGATGGCAGTATCTGAGCAGGAAGAAAGTGGTTTTACAGTTGAAGATGGTATAAAAACAGGGATTATCTGAAGGTGAAGATACTGTGACATTTAACAATGAAGGCATTAAGTTTGCTTGCTGCAAAGTTTTTTCCAAAAGGATTAGCACCTTCTTCAGGTAAACCAGGTATCTTTTGACCTTAAACATTAAAACAGACTAAAGTTATTTTACAAAAAACAAAAAGGTTTCTAAAATGTATGCCAGAACTGACACTTAAGAGCTAAAAAACAGTGAATATATTAAAATAGCAAGACAAACTCACAGCTGACACCCCATACCAGGGACTTCATTTAGGCAGATAGCAGCAAAAAATCAACAGTCAACACAATCCTCCCCACAAAGAACTCTATATCCCAATACAGTGAGTGGATATGCACTGGGAAAATTTGCATTTTTAGAACTGTAACAAAAGCCTGGAATTGTAGAAGGAGAAAGCTACTCTGTTTAAAAAAAAGTCAGTAGGACAGTAACAGAAATAGAAATTGTATCCTCTATTGCATTTGGACCAAATTGGAAAGCATAACAGGCAGGAACCATCAAGTCATCCAAAACTCTAAGAGAATATATTGTACAGAAAAACACAATGCTCAATGCAGTTCAATGACAGTTAGCTGATCTTCAGTTTTACTGCAAGCAAGCTCAGACATAAGCATGGCATTCAGTGAAGTAAATAGCTACAGAGCTTCTGTTAATGTAAGTAAAATTTAGGCTAATAGCTAACTAACTTTAAAGCAACAGTCTGTAATGTTAGCAGCACCAGTGTCCCTTTAAACTGACACCATTCTAGAATGGTTAGAAGGATGAACTACATAAAAAATTACTTTGGATTAGCCAACCTGATACCAACAGGATTGCTGCACGTTGGAAACTTCCCCAGCAGGAAGGAAGCCCTTTTTGTACCAAATGTGCCAATACTTTTCCTAGGCATGCAAAAGTAACCTGGGAGCTAAGGTGGTGACCCATTGTGCAATTTACCACAAAAAGGGAAAAGGTACCACAACATCTGTCCACATGTGTGCTGAGCTCACAGCCAAAGCACTGTGGCAGTATGGACACACAGCCTCTCTGGAATACCACAGAAGAAAGACATTTGCCCAGAAATCCTAACAAGACTATTGAAAGTAATTTGAATTGAAAAACTAAGAGTTAGATTTGACTCCCACCCACCAGCCAAAAAATCATGAGCCTCTAGTGGCCATAGATTTCACAGACTCCCAGAATATCCTGAATTGGAAGGGATCCACAAAGAACATGGCATCCAACTCCTGGTCCTGAGCAGAACAACCCCAAGAATCATACCCTGTAGCTGAAAATACTGCCCAAACACTTGAACTCTGTCATGCTTGGTGTTTTTGGGAATCCTGTTCCAGTGCCCAACTATCCTCTGGATGAAGAATATTCTGTCTTTCTCAGTCACAGATTTTCTCCCTACAATGACAAGCACCATTTTCCATTTTTGCTATTCCAAATTAATATCTGGCAAGTTGAAGTCCCCCATTAGGACAGCAGCAGTTGATTTAGAGGTGTTCCTTAATTCCTTAAAGGACAGTCAGTGTCATCATCCTGGGTGAGTGGCCTACAGTGGACTCCAACAATGACATCTGCTTTTGTTTGCTCCTTAATCCTTATCCAGAGGCCTATAACCATGCCATCACCAGTCACAAGCTCCAAATATTCCACCCTATCCATTAGATACAACATCACTCCCCCACCTCTCCTGCTGTCTGTGCCTCCTGAGGAGCCTGCCCCATCCACAATGCTCCAGTGACAGAACTCATCCCACACGGTGTCACTTATGGCAGTGATGTTGCCAATGGTGGGGAAAAAAGGAGCAGAGCAGGGTGCCTTGTACTCTTCATCCTCAGGAGGAGTAAGAGGAAATGAAAGTTTCTTCTACACGCACTACAAAATGAAGAGTTGTCTAGTCCAATGTATAGACTATCACTGAAAAAAAATCTGTCTAAACCATAAGAATCTGACAGAAGATTGGGCCATGATTATCCAGCAGCATAATTCTCATATCTACCAAATGCTATTGCAGTTGGATTACTGGGATAATAGAACTGTTTCAATAATTTTCATGAAATTACTTTCTCACCTTCCAGTGGACTGTCTTGTGATATCACTAATAGTGTCAACAAGTCAGCTACAAAAATAATTAACTACTTTAATAATGATTAAAAGCTCATTGAAGTTTTATATAAGATGCAGCACTTAAAATATTTTAATTCAAACAGCAATTACACGTATTGTTCCTCCCAGACACCTAGACCAAAATCAGAGGGATGAAATCACTATGTAGTTTGCTATATTCTTTATTAAGAAATAAACTTTTTTTACTTAAAAATTGGATGTAAATCAGTACACAGGTCTAAGAAACAAAGTATATCTCATGTTAAAGCAGTACATGTCTAAAAGATAAATTTTACATTAGTCAAGAAACATTTTACGCTTTCTCAGTTTTCAGATTCTGACTTCTGCACTAGCAAGAATTTATGAACATGCTCAGCTATCATGAAGAAACACTCTATGTTTTATATAGTACATACCTATGCTCTGCCTCAAGTGAGCTTGAAAGAACATTTGCCTGAGGGAAAGCTGAAGACTGAATGATCTGCTGAGGTGTAATTGAAGCATTGCCATTCTCCTGCAGAATTTCATTTTCAAAGTTTTGGTTCATATCTCTCTCACGATGAGAACTGTTGTTGTTATGGAAGCTGAAGGACTCATCATCCTAAATACAAAAATAATTTTACATTAAAAAATGTAAAAGTGAATTCCATCCACAAGTACATATCCAGAAGTGCTGCAATTCAGTAGTTCTGTTTAGTTTAAATTAAATTTAAATGGAGAGACTCTGTACTTCACAGGTACTTCACTTCTGTTCTGGCATTTGCAACACCTGCATGCTACAGAATTCCTAAGATACACTACTGATTAAATAATGCAGAAAGCACCTCACAAGCTTTTCCCCAAATTTTTTTCCTTCAAAGTTTCATACGTATATTAAAATTCAAACGTACTTCAGCTGTTCTTCATACTTACAGAAATAATGGACTGTTGAATTTTTATTGTTTCTAAGTAAATATCAGAGCTGTATGTGGCAGAAGTAGTCTGAAAATATATGAGTTCTCAAGTTTACTTAGTCTAAGGGACAGGTCACAACACCCATACCTCAAATTCTCTGCCATGAATTCAGAAAGACTGCATACTGCTCTTTAAATTCAGACAAGCTCACTTACACACATGCACTCAACCCTAGCTTCTCAGGCTGTTGTGAACACCAACTGGAAATTACTAGACATTAAATACAAATCAGGAAGAAAATTTATTTACAAAGACAACTGTTCAGGTTCACTCAAAGATTAAAAGGTCTTTAGTCTATAAACATGAGGTATTTCTTTCTACTCTACTCATTCAGCAACCCATAATTCGTATTTATGAAGGAGCCGAATAGTCTCAGAAGTCTTACCAACTGTAAAAACAAAGAAGAGTAGAATCGTTATTAGTTAAAACCTTCTCAATAACAAAATCCCTAAACTGAGCATATAACAGCATTACCCATAGCAGGAGGAAATAATGCAATCTTCTGCACCTGTAAGAAATCATACTTTAGAGCACAGGATCAACACCACCATCGTTTCCCTCCCACTCATATGCTGTCTGCTTTCAGAAATATTAGAACAGTCAGCAAGATATTGTTAAGAACACATATCCCAGTAAACACACATTCAGCTGTTACATTATATGCCTGAAGAATAGGTCACATAATAGCAAGAAAAATTTATAAATTTACTAAGCAGTTCTGTAGGACAAACCAGCTTCTTCCAAGTGTGATTCAGCTGCTGAGTACAATTTGCCTCATTATTTCATAATTCTGAATCTCTAGATGGTTCCTAAGATCTTTATAATCTTAAATCAAAATCTTTGTGTATTTCCTGAGCACATGAACAAAGCTATCCCCAATATCCATTTCAAGGTACTCAGTCACAGAATACCTAATGAAAAGATGTAGGATTTTCTTAGCTGACACATACAGCTAGGTTATACAGTCCCATTACAGCAAATTGCATTTTGCCTGAAAAAGGATCAGGGTCAGTAAAGTCAATTTCACTTTTAACAGCAATGTACACTGGCACTGTTTCCTTTTTAATATCTCAAAAGCCTAATATCACTTCCTCAAAACCATTTGTTTATCTGGCTGATTTCTAATTTATGGGATTTTTTGTTTTAATAAGACATTTTAAACCACTCATTTACAGCAAACAGGCTTGTAAGCACCTCATTCTGAATAATAAAGTACTTATTTTCACCTGGACTACGATAACTGGTATGATAACTTGGTGGCTGGTAGCATTTGACACAAATATTCTCTAGTATCAATCGAACACTGCATAAATCAATACAGACTGAAAGAAACCTGATGCATATTATACCCAGCCTTATAGGCCTTCAAGCTCTCAATTAGTTAGAACCAGTGGTTTATGCATATAGTGAGCTATTGCTCCTTTGATTAGATAAGAATAGAGAACTTCTGGCTATCTAAACACTAATTAGAAAGGAAATGGTTTGAGAAGCATTGAGAAGCAGAACAAACTTTTTTGTTTTGTAGGATAACTAGCAGCCAGAGTATGAAATACTGCCCTTCACAAGTCTGTTGGGACTAGGTGGGATTCACACAAGAGTACAGAGGGAGTCAGCAGTTCACTGAGCTACTTTCCATCATTTACCAGCAGCCCCGGATTACCAGAGAGGTCCCAGGCAACTGGAGGTTGGAAAACGCGATGCTCATTTGCAGAAAGTATTGGAAGGAGATTCCAGGGAACTACAGGCATGTCAGACTTGCCATGGTACCAAGGAAGGTAGACCTTCTATGACCAGGGGGGACTGCTTAGGGGATGAAGAAAAGGTTGTGGATGTTTTCTGCTTAAACTTCAATAAAACCTTTTCTTTGACACAGTATCCCAGAGAATTCTGCAGAAGCTGTCAGCCCATGACTTGGAGAGGGGCACTCTTCACTGGGTAAAAACTGCCTAGATGGCTGAGCCCAGAGGGTGGTGGGTGGTGAGTGGCGGTTGCTCATGGGTGGGGCTCCCCAGGGCTCTCTACTGACCACTTTATCAATGATTTGACAAGTGCGCCTCAGTCAGTTTACAGGTGACACCAAAATGGGTGAGAATTCTGATCTGCTGGACGGCAGGAAGGCTCTGCAGAGAGATCTGGACAGGATGGATCAACAGGCCAAGGCCAATGGTGTGAGGTTCAACAAGGCCCAGTGCCAGGTCCTGCCCTTGGGTCACAACAGCCCCAGGCAGTGCCACAGGCTGGGGCAGAGTGGCTGGAAAGGACCTGGGGGTGCTGGTGACAGCAGCTGAACATGAGCCAGGCTGTGCCCAGGTGGCCAAGAAGGCCAATGGCATCCTGGCCTGGATCAGCAATGCTGTGGCCAGCAGGGCCAGGGCAGGGATTGTCCCCCTGTGCTGGGCCCTGCTGAGGCCACACCTCCAGTGCTGTGTCCAGGGCTGGGCCCTCAGTGCAGGAAAGGCCCTGAGGGGCTGGAGAGAGTCCAGAGAAGGGCAATGGAGCTGGGGCAGGGTCTGGGGCACAAGTGCTGTGAGGAGCAGCTGAGGGAGCTGGGGGTGTTTGTCCTAGAGAAAAGGAGGCTCAAGGGAACCTCTCGCTCTCTACAGCTGCCTGAAAGGAGGCTGTGGCCAGGTGGGGCCAACACCCTGACAGGACACAAGAAATGGCCTCAAGTTGTGTGAGGGGAGATTCAGGTTAGACACCAGGAAGACTTTCTTCATAGGAAGACTTTCTACCACAGGAAGGGTAGTCAAGCACTGTAATGGGCTGTCCAGGGAAGTGGCTGAGTCACCATCCCTGGAGGTATTTAAATGCCATTTAGATGTGACACTTGAATACACAGTTTACTTGCAGGCTTGTCAGTACTGTTAATGGTTGGACTTGATCTCAAAGGTCTTTTCCAATATCAATTCTTGCATGATTAGTTTACTTAGCCTAATGTATCTTTTTTTATTGTTGCTAAAGACACACAAGTACTTAAGTCATCAACATGCACTAAAAAATACTGCAGAAAGACCAAAAGAAACTACAAACCAGCACTGGAGGAAGAGTAGTACTTGGAACAATGTTTTTAAATTAATCAAAAGGTAATTCCTTTCCTTCATTTAAGGATCCATAGACCAACAGCTATTTACAGCAAAATTAGAAGTAGTTTATCATTTGTCTGAAACCTACTGGATCTACAGCAAGTATGAACAAAATTACCTTCTCTTGTCCATCATGATTCTCATCTTCATGTTCCTCTTTCACTCTATCTCTTTTCAATGCTTTCAAAAATTCACTCTTCTTATCAGTCCGCATTCTTGTCAATTTTGTTAAACGAAGCTGACCAGATTTGTCAACAGGGGATGAAGAATTTGACCGATTACACTAGTGAAGGAAGTCAGAAAAAGAAAGAATGTTAGAAACGTGTTCATTCAGAAAAATTTTAATTAAAGACACAGGTACCTGTTCTTTCAGATTTCACATATATTCACAGTCAAAAGTAGAAGGAAGATCTGTATTTTGGTATAAACAGTTTGCAGATGTAAACCCAGAGATGCAGCTTTATGGAGCACTGCTAGTGAACAGTGGGCCTTCTGAAACATGTAACACCTTTAGCAGTTTTAAAGTCTAAAAGTATCAGGCTGTATTTTCTGATGTGGGTTTTTATTCTAAATCAAACCTACAAAGGAAACTGCAGTATTTTGAGGCCAGTGATGTGCATTCCACCTTTTCTGAACATTAAGTTCCAAAAAAACCCCATATTTAATACAATTCTGTATAAAATTTACTGGCCATCCTCACTTAAGCAAATTAAATGTTTTATAAATTTTATTACAGCTACTACTTTACCTCTTTCACTGAATTTTGTGTTACAGCAAATGCCTTGACAGTTGATTTGAAAGGACCATATGTAGATTCATGAGGAAACACATTCCCAAGTTTATTTTCTTTTGCTTGGCTTTTCCACTGTGTGGGCTAAACAGAGAAGTAAAGAGTCATTAACTACAAAAGGATTCTTTTCAAGAATCTTCAGAAAAATGATTAAGCAAAAGCAAATCATAACTGCAACCTTAATGTAGTGCAAACATCTGTTTTCTTGTGGAAAAGAGGCTGTTTATGAGCAATTCATCTGCTCATAAATACTGTTCACGCTGTTTATATAAAAACTAAAATTTCGAAACAATTAAGATCCTTATATTTGAGGTATCGAAAATGAAATATGGGACTTCAACAGCTGAAAGTATTATTTTAGATTCAAAAATGTTACAGAGTTAAGAACTAATCCACCATATGCTCCCAAGAGCTCAGAAAAATTCCTGAAACAAAAAAATAGAGATTAAACCAGTGAGAATAGCTCAGTTGGTTAGAGACTGGTGATAATAATGCCAGGGTTGTGGGTTTGAAGTCCATATGGACCATTCATTTAAGAGCTGGACTTGGTGCCTTCCAACTCAGAATATTCTGATTATGCATATGGAAAGTTGCATTTGGAAATAGACCAGAATGATACTACTAAGTTATAATGTCATCTCTGTCTATAACTGGGATAAATTCTGAAGGTAATATTATGCTGACTATACCTCTCTACAATGTACCTAATTTTGTTCTGTTGAAATCCTACATACAAAAGGGACTGCTATTCCATAAGTTTAAACCAGCATTTTTACTCTCACTTGTACAGCTGCTGCACTTCTCAAAAGTGGTAGATGGGAAGCAAAGAGAACTAAGATATAATTTAAAAGAAAACTGCAAAAAAAAAGTTGTTTCTATTCATTTTTGGGGTGTGTTGCATTTTGCAAGTGTTAAATACATGATAATCTAGGAACGGTACTGTCAGGGATGAAATAAACACACTTGGAATCATAGCATGATTTTTCTAGGCATGTTTTTTGTAACACTGGTATCCAATACTCACCTTTGCAGGTGGAGTTACAGGTTTGGGGACTAATCCTTTATAAACACTTGTGCCAGTTCCATTCCTTACCGGCTGCGAGTGAAGAGCTCCCACTACTGGGAATCCAGATATCCGCAGTTCTTTTGTACTGCCTTTTTTAATGACCAGCATTCTCTGAGATCTAGATTTGGGATTTAAAGGGTACTCTGGAAGAAAAAAAGAAGTGTGTATATATATAGATATATCTCTGTGTGTGTGTGTGTGTGTCTGTGTACACAACTCACTAGTTTTTATTTCATAAGGTACCGGAACAGCCATATGATTCAGAGCAAACAGGCATAAATCAGGAACTTAAATCAGTATTAGCTCCACAAATAACATACTGTGAAAACCTGGAAAAACACAGGTTCTGTTGCATTTTCTACAGTCATCATTTTAAAAATATTTCACTTGGCAATGCAGGAACTGCACTTTTCAAAAGAAAATATATTCTTCAAAGAAACCTGCTACACATTTCTAGAGACTCCTATGTAGTAATTCTACAATCAAAATACTGTTAGTTGTTGTTGAAGTTACTCAAACTTCACAAGAGTTTATGGCTTTCATATTCCCCTTAAGACTTCCTAAAGAATAATTAGTTATATATTTATTAACAGCTCAATTTAGAGCTCTGCACTGAGGTTCTAGAAACATGAGACAAGATGTGCACTACACATTAGACCATGGCAATGACCAGTTTCTCTAGGTCCATGCTTCAGATGGACATAAGAGGAAAAAATTTCCATGTTCATTGGAGAACAAATTAGGAGACATACAAATTAGTCAGCTATCAAACTAGAGAAACTGCCATTTAGCAGTATTAAGGAACATCCATTAAAAACAGTTCTAAAATTTTCAAAAAGAAAAAAAAATCTTTTTTTGTACATGCATTCCAACATAAGAGCCTTTTCAAGGATTATCTCCTCTCCCTGCAAGCAATTCTACTTCACTATTCCCTCGGTTAAAAAAAAAAAAACAACAAACCCTATCTTAAAAGAATACATGACTTTTGCTTTGTTTAGCAGATAGATGCTACAAAATAGTTATCATTACTGTAAGTTTAATTCTCATTAAATCTCATGACAAGATTTTTCATAATATTTACAGGCTCCCATCACATATACACAACGTAAAATGGAATCTAAGAGATGTCTATGTTTTTTTTAACAGATATTAGAAGGGATTGTAACACTCCTCTATCCTGAAAAATTTTTTCCTTCTAAAGGGAATAATAACAGCCTTCAGTTTTTCAATTACAAAACAAGACTCTTTTATTGAAAGATAGGTTATCACATGAAAGCTGCTAACAACACAAAACCAGAAAGCTGTCCAATTATTTATGATGCTGTAAAGGTCTGCAGCAACTAGATATTTATATTGAGGGGGTTGGCCTATATCTAATATTACTTTAGCATGCAAAAAATGCTGGTTAAGTATGAGAAAAGAATCAACAAATTAAAATATCTTTAAAATCTCAGTATTAGCAGTAGTATAAGTAGACAAGTAAATTAATGTTTAATTAATTTTTTTTTAATAAAGAGAGATATTCGTATTTTGGGTACATTTACTTTAAAACCCCTGCCATCTGAAGCTACCACCTTCTTGGGGTAAACAACTGAAAACATAAAGCCCATCAGAATTGCAAAGTGTTCGCCACACACTCAGGTGTGTGAAAACAATCCAGACTATCGGTCTCCCCAATGCCCCTGCCCAGGATTGTATTTGTCATACAAACAATACACAAACACAATCAACAGCACAAGACATTTGCTTCCAGAAAGAGACCTTAAATCTCTGCAAGCTAAACTACTCTTCCAGCTCTCCCAGGTTTCTCTCCAAATTCTTCCAACTCATTTTACAAAGCCTTCAGCTAGCAATCAATACCACTTATTTAGGTGACCAACCTTCATTGCACTTCCTCTTGAAAATAAAGGTGAAGATTTCTTGACATCTTTACAAAAAAAGACGTATACTTGTTCTGAGAAAGATTATTATTTGTGGTACCATCTACAGACTAGCTAACTGATACGCATATTGAAGTGCTACCCTTTAACAAAAAGATACCTACATTGTAATAATATTGAAGTCTTCTCAATCTATACTTGTAGAATTCTAAAAAGAGGCTCGTGTTTCAAATAAAACAGCTTCAGATATCTGCTATGTTTTTGCATTTAAAAACATCAAAAATACTCACCCCACACACCTGCAGCTAGAGATTTATTCTGGTTTGGTTCCCTCTCATAGTCAGGATTTAAAGATGGCTGAAAGAAAGTTTTGTCATTTTTAAAAAAAGTAACCCTTGAACTGTGGGATGAATGAACTAAAGAATCACAATAACACCAGCAGCATGACCTGTGCTGACAGACTAAACACCTCCCCCAGGAACCAAACAGGAAAATGTTTACTTGTTTCTCTTCTCTAACAAAATATCTCAGGCAGCAGCCAATGCCATTATGTGACAGCAGCAGAGAAAGCAAAATCCAGCCATGTATGTTTCTTCTAAGAGTAAGATCACCCTTCCCCTTACATCCCAACTGCAGGTTAAAGCATCAGAGCTCAAAGGCCACAGGCATGAAAATTACTTTTGTTACTATTTCAGATTCCAATAAGGTAACTGTGTAGAATTTAATACATACACATACCACAGCAGATAGGAATCCAACTGTAGTTTCACTTAAATACACAAATAACAATAATAAACATATAGTGAAAAATCTGGTTATAAAATGAGAAACAAGTTATTAGACAAACTACCAACACTCCCTTAGCTACAGAAAATTCCTTACATGATGATCTGAAACTGGTGAAATCTCATGAAGCGACTTGTAATGGACAAAATGGTATTTGCAGACAAATGAAACCTTTTTAATTGTAATTACAATTTACTTACGAAGTCCTCAGCCTCAAACTGGTTGGGTACTTCTTTTACTTCCTTTTTCTGGGTTTCATTACCAAGTACACTGTTTTCACGCAGTCCCTGGCCTTTTCCACAATGGAAGGTGCTGCTACGAGTACGGGAACCTCCACCATGGTACCCTCCATGTTGGTTTAGATTTTCTGGAGCATTTCTGCCTTGTGAACGCCAGCCATTCCTCTCTTTTCGCCCAAAATGCCCTTGGATTTTAAAATTTTAAATAAATGTAATTACAAACCATTTAGAAATAATATTTTACTCTGCAGAATTGTTAAAAAAGTTGAATCACAAGTTCTATACACTGGGATACAATAGCATAGGAAACAAGTTTTCATTCACATAAGCAGCAGGGAAGGATCTCACAAAACAGTGCCAGAGAGAAAATAGCCAGCCAATGCTACAACAAGTCAACCTCTTTTTCTGTCTACTCATTTTATATGTTGTTGGCCTAGAGTATTAACTCAACACTCGTATTCTACTCAAGAGAGAAATACACCTGGAATCGCATCACTTTAGCCAACCCTTATGCTCACATCCTCTCCCAGATTAGTCTTTCCATTACCTCTCTTTCACGGCAGAAAAAGCATTTAGCACACATGAGCTGTCATCAGACTTCCTTTCTAGCTAGTGCTACAAAGAAATGACACAAACATATTCACAGTGTTCCATAAATTATACCTCCATTTGGCCTTCCAGTGTTAGGATCAAACCCTTCCGAAGAATTGTGTCTTCTGCGATTTGCTTCATAACGATTCTCTGCCCATGAAAAATTTTCAGAATGTTTCTCAAAATTCAGTGATGACTGCAAAGGAGCATAAATGGTACACCTGAGATCTGATTGCTAACAACTTAATCATCAGAACTGTAACATGCACATTGTTGACAGTATATAATTCATTCTTACAAGAACTTTGAATGACAGACAATGCAGCAGTCCTCTCATGCAGAGCTGTGTCACCATCTCGCAGGCTAACAAAGTGGAAGCTGCATCTTCTGATCCAGGACACTGAAACAGCCCTTAAGTCACATGCCTGTGACACAAGGTAAGAAGTGTCTACTTTGTTTTGGCAGCAAAACAGAGCAAAAGTGACATGTGTTGCAGCAGAAGAAGTTTTTTTTTTAAAGATAAGAAAGGACAGAAGATCACAACTTGGAAGGCTGAGAAGAAGTCTGGGATCTTAATCTAGATTTTCAGAGACTACATACAGGCATTCCACAGAAAGCAAGGAAACCCTTCCACCCCAGGTAGCTATACTCAAACAAAACTTAATTCATTAATCTTGTCATTATTACAATTTAAAAAGGAAAATAGAAGTAGTTATGAAATACTAATAAAATCTAGAATCAGAAGTGCCCAGATTCACAAAGATACTTCAAATTTTCAGCTTATAAACACACATTAAAAAATTTTTAAAGAAATAAATCTTTAATATATCAGTAGGAAGCCGTAAACTAAAATCTTATCTTGACAACAGCACCAAGAAATCAAACTACATCCTGACTAGAATTCATACCTAAAGGAATTAAACCAAAAAACATTTTTCCTTACACAACCCATATCTTCCTTATAACTTCTTTCTGAGTGTACCTTTAAACTTACTTCCTTCTTCCCACCTAACCCTAACAGGAAATCACACACACAAAAAAAGATCCCCAAAGCTCTATGGAAATGCCCCTGTAGAGCTCAAGGTGCTGTTCAATATTCACTGCTTAAAATTCAAACTCAAATAATCATGTCGACAAAAATCAAAGCAGGTATTTTTAGACTGTTAATTTTTAGAAGTCAAATGTACAGGGACTACCCTCTCAATCTGAGACATGGGACATGAATTACTCGACAAACTCTCCTTGGAGAGAGCAAGACCAGAAGACTGCAAAAAATTGTTAAAATAAAAGTACTTCAAAAATTACCAAATTAATCTAAATATTTACGTGAAAGAAAATCCTTAAACAGATTTTGACTGAGCTGTCAAAAATTTCAGAAAGCACAAGATCTGCCAATCTTAGGTGAAATTTTAGAAGATACTTCATGTGTTCATTTACATACAACCACCTCTAAAGATTGTTTTTGGAATTCAACTTTCTTTTTTTGTATGACCTTCAAAAAAATCAACGTTTTTACAAAGTATAACTGACAGCATTTTATATGTTATGTTTGAGTCGTACATGCTACCAGGAATCCGACGCTTCTGAACCATGTGCAAAGATCACGCAGTTTGCATTTTCCCCACATGATGGAGATACCTGCCTATGAAGCCTCTAGAGGCAGAGATGACAGTAAGCTACGTAATCAAAAGGAAATGTATTGATTACTTCTGTAAGTTGAGAAACTATTTGACTCAGTTCAGCCAATCAAGAAAAAGGGATAGAAACAACATAGATTTTAAAAATACAGGAAGTCTAACTGCTTAACAAGAAGTAAAAGAGAACTGTAAAACTGCCTTTATCTATCTGCAATGTTCCCATACCCTTTTCACAGCAATATTTTCTTAAAAGTTCTGTCCATGTCCCAAAATGGTTTCACTATTCCCAACACCTTCCCATTCCAGCTGCCCATCTGTAATACTGCACTGACACAACACATTAGTTCCAGACCTGGACAAAACCCACTGAGTGACAGATACACACCTATTTAGGTGGATTTTGCTGTGTAGTTGACAGAGACATGAGAAAAGCTTGCTGTTAAACGGAAATCAGAAGCAATAGATGAGATAGATTTCAATCAAGCTACAGTCTGTGTATCACATTAAAAAGCTCATTCACAATCACAGTTTCCTGGTAGCAGGTTTCTGTAATGCCAGCCTTGACCTATGTAAGGAAAAACATCTCAGCTACCAAGGGCTCAAGGGGAAAACCAGGGTCCTATAGGTGTAATCTCTGAAAGTGATCACATCTCAGGTATATAAAAAATTGACTAAGCAGAGCTCAGATTCTACTTCTCAAATGTTTAAAATGTTTAAATGTTGCTGATACCATAGCCTCACCCCAGCTCCATTCTGTATGAAACATGAGATACCTTGCCTTCCTCACCCCTTCCTCTTCATCTCCTGCTTTTCTCTCTTGCTTTTTTGATATACAGCAGAAAATAAGTCTATTTTAGGAAACAGAAGGGAGCCACAACACTTGTGACCTGCCTTGTGGAGGACTCACAAGTTTTATTCTGCAAACTAAGAACTACAAACAGACTTTTCAAGCACTTAAAATCCAAATGGGCTGTGTATCACAGAACGCTCATCATTGAGGGAGCAGGTAATACAGGGAAATAAGGTGCATTCCAACAAATATTACAACAGAGTAATACATACAACATGGAGTTTCTGAAAGAGGAGAAAATCTAACTAAACTCCATGAGGCAAATAATCATCGAAGAGGAAAGGAAAAATGCACTTGCAAAAAGATTTCACACAATTCAGAAATGAGGTGACAAATATAACCCATACTTCAGATATATTCTAGTGGTGCTAGAGTATTTCTGAAACTTTGTTTTATCCTGCTATATTGGCACATAAAGCATGCAGGTAAAGCTCTTGCAGCAGACTCTCTAAATATGTAGTGAAGATTGTTTTGCAATTGTGACACCACATCAATTAAGCTCCAGATACTTTTCCAATTTAAAACATATTACATTGAAAAAATCAGATCAAAAGAGTTGAATGAATCAGAAATCATAGAGAATGAAAACAAAGAAACTGCTTCTTAATTTGGATTTTCAGACACTATGTATCCTGGAACAGATAGGCTTTATGTTCCCAGAAACAGACTATACTAAACAAAGAGCCTAGCTAGGTCAGGGTAGAAGAGACTTAAACAAAGTGATATAAATAAGGACATTCAACGACCTGACTAAAAAAATGTGTTTATGTTTGTGTAGACATACAGAATCAAAGCATTAGGAACACAATTAACACTGCCATCTCCCCACGCATTTAACGCATTTAACAATACCATAAAGCCTACTGCCCTAAGTTTCTCAAGGCCAAGCATTTTCCATGGAGGTGACAGACTGCACAAAGTTTCTATATTAAAAAAAACAAAGCAATTCTCATAGCAGCAGTTATGAATATTGAATTCAAACTATTATAATGAAGATAGGTCTACAAATAGGGAAACAGATAACAGGAGTTTTAATCTCCACAGCTGACTCTGCTTCTGCATTTGCAAAATTAAGAAAGAGTAGAAAAAACACTTCTGAGATAGACCTCCAGGAATATTTACTAATTCTAACAATTAAGAGATTATTATTTCCCATTTCCAAGCTGTCCCATTACATAAAGGAACAGTAGTCTAAACAGCGTGGAGATGCCTAACAGTATGAAAGCACCACACTCCACCAGCAGCAACAAGCATTTCACCATCAACTGCAGAGCCTCTTCAGAAACTCCAAAAAAGCATAGTTTTAATCATTTGGATGACAGAATAATACTCCCTTAAAATTTAAAGGACACAATTAAAAATCAGAAACAAGAACATCAAGAACATGCTTTGTCTTGGTACTTCTAGCATGGAACACAAAGTATTTAAGTTTAAACACCTGAAGAAGGCAGTCTTAAACCAACCACAGCCAAGGCCAGATATGCGCTTCTCTCCATGAACTAAGCTGCTGAAGCAAAAAACTCTACTGCAGTCATCTGTCATCACAGTATTCATGAAGAGATTGGCATTTTTACTGAGATTGAGGTTATGACATTTAGATTCCCCTAATAATGAGAGTGCCTTTTCAAAACAACAATACAAAACATACCTTTGTTGATGATGGTAGAGTAGGAAAATTAAGCCAGGCTGGAGCAAAGTCATGCTGCGCCATTTAGGTCCAGTCTCTCCGAATCAATGAAAAAAGGCTTAGCACCTCATGGCAAGTCCCTGTAATCAGAAGAAAATACAAGGGGATTACACTTCTTGTCTTTTGTTCAGTATTTCACTTCTGGTTTCCCATATTGTTTTCCTCATAGATCTGATTTAGAATCTATCATCGTATCATTTACAGCATCAAATCTGTGTTTTTATTACTAAAATGTCACATAAATCAAATATATCACAGGAATTATGAAAATATAAATGTAACATTTCTTTCTTTATTTCCTCCTATAAATGGGATGAAGCATCTTGTGTAAGGTCTGATCAAGAACACTATGGCAAAACTAGCTTGCTGAAATACATTCTGGTACTATCTAGAAGGGACCTGGCAAGCCATTTTATTAGCTTCCTAGAAGCTGGTATTTTTAATTAATCCCTAACAGTAAGTCTCAGCGGCCATATGAAAGTTCCTTATGAAAAACCTACATACTTGGGCTCATTACAAACCTCACAATGACTCCATGTCTCCTCTCTTCAATGGAAACAGAGTCTATATGTCCAGAGTAGCAAAATCCAGTAAAATTCTCTAGCTTGAAAATGGGCCAAAGAACATAATAGTTTACTATTAAAACCCACAAATACTTTTTCTACCCTACACTCTTCTTACAGGTAAGAAAATATTTCTCAATAGGCAAGAGAATACACGGTAATGTGAACTATATTACCTGAAGCTGAACTGCAGCAGAGACAGGAAAGAAATGGATTAAACACTTCCTGAATTATACTAGGGCAACCAAACCATGCTCTGCAGCTAGTCACAGCAAAGTGGTCAATGACTCAAAAAATTTCTAAGTATGATATACATGCTATTAGAAATCCAACTAGTGAAAACATAATAAACATCCACACACATTCTATAGGGAGGCCCAAATAAACGTGAATTCCACATCTCTGCACAGCAGAGTACAAATCTGTTATTGAGCACAGATATAATTCACTTTAATCTGTGGCTGCTGTAATGTATTGGTAAGAGATGTGGAATCTGAACTTGGTAACTGATAATTATGGTTGTTCTCCAGCCTGAACCTGAATATTGCAGGCTACTGCACATTTCCATCGACAGGTAAGACTGTTCCAGCTTCTAAAAGGAAGTCTAATAGATTTGTTAGATTTGACTTAGTGTAAGATTGTACTTAGTTGAGCTGCTGTTTGTTTTTAATGACGTGAGCTCATATCTAAGTTTTTCGGAACATCCAATACCATGGATAAACTGTAGGGTAGGACGTACAATTAGTACAGTTAAACAGGGACAAGGTTAAAGATATGTCTCACCCAAATAACTAACTTAAAATTACTCTGCTGAAGTCATTCAACTCACTCCTACACCAACTTCAGCAAAAAATCCAGAGAAAATTTCTAAGTATTTCCAGTTATATCAAACTAGTAAAATATAAATGAACAAAATTCTGGAGTCAATGAACCATCATAGAAATGGCTTCTCTTCCTAAAAGGAACCATGTTCACTTTTACTGATGTATCCCATGCAGCAACAGTATACGAAAGGGCATATGTTTACAAATGAACCAAAAGATGTTAAATTAAGAAACAACAAATCTGAGCAGATTCCAGCAAGAAAAAAGTTTATTCCCCTTCACTTGGACACAGTTCTCTTCAAGCAGAAGAATCATGATATCTTCAGAAATTATCAAGACAGATTTTCAGTACTGAAAGATTGACACAACAACAACAAAGTCTTCAGACTGAAGCACTTACAGTCTGAAAAGCAGTAAGTAAGATTAGGTTTATACTAAGTGAGAACTTAAAGATTCCACAAAGTACCACCAAGTTATTTGTGCATCAGCTATTAATTACAGCACAGAAAATCCACTAACAATGTGACTTCATAGATTTATATTAACGTTTTTAGAAAACTAGTCAAGCTTCCTAACATTATTTATGCAACTGCCACAAGAAGAGTTTGTTATTAACTCACTATCATACTTACCTTTTATCCTTTGCACAAAAGACTGCGGGATCACCAAGTAACCAAGGACTGGAAAAGGTATTTTGCAAAAAGACCTTTTCCCACAGCTTACCGACACTGGCTACCTATTTCTTCATGCAAAAATTTTTCTAGAAGCAGATTCAAGTCTTCCTCATGTTCTCAGCTAAAAAAGTTCTGAAAAAAAAATTGATATTGTGCTCTGTCGTGTGAGTCAGCCCTTTTCTTAGAAAGAAATAAACTTAAGTGGTTAAGACAGAGACCTGCACCAAAACTACACAATACTCAGAGCCAAGTCAGCAACAGGATATATATATCAAGTTTCAATAAACCCATAAAAGACAAACTTTTAGGGCTAATTCTTCCAAATAATTTTAACAAAAAAAAACAGCAAGAAAAAAAGCACAGACGAATTTCTAGAAACTATCTGACCAAACTCAGAGGTTTGCAGTTAGGCATTAACATGAAAAACAACTCCTGTGATACTCCACGCCTAAGTCAAGAAAACATTTTCTTTCACCTAATTGTACATATGCCTGGTCCAGCAATTAGACATGGGAACAGAGAGTTCTTTCATTATTAAACCTTTCTAACTTTGAATAGGCACAAACATCCCAGACATAATTAAACTGGGAAACAAAGGGCAGGTCAGGAAAAGATATTTTAAAACTGTATTAGAGGACATAGTCTACCCAGCTTAAAGTTACTGGTTCCATATTTTACCAGGTTTCATAAACATTCTTACAGCTGCCAGCTTTCTGATGTTGCCAACAAGTTTGACCTATATATAAGAAAAAATATTATAAGTATGATCTCTGTTCAAATGATCTGACAAATATTTGATAGCTCTAGGGTACTCTTCATTCTCAGGAAGGTATTTTTGAAAGGTGAAAATGTGAAATCTGAAAACAGATCACAAAACATAAGAATGGGATGTCAGCAAGGCACCCCCACTGCCACAGGCAGGATTTACTAAGCTTAAACCCTTTGTGATCAGCTTGGCTGCCAACACTAGTGCATTTCTTGCTTGTTTTCCAAGTTCAGCTGACCTACAACTATCAAATTATACTGCAACACATTCTAACATTAAAAAGGATCTTTCTACCTTCTTTCCCTGCTATTCAGGTCCATACCTAAGCTATGCCAAAGAGTCAGAGATGCATCTACATTCTGTGTCCACGAAAGCATTTGCAACCTTTCTTCAGGTTGCATACATACTATCTACTACTTTTAAATTAAACAAAAACAACATTTAAAGTATTTTAATAGAACAAACATCAATAGCATAAAATTGCTTTTATTACTGACATGAAACTATACATCTACCAGGAAGTTTTCTCTTGCATACACACAACACAAACACCGTTCAGTAACTAATAAAGCAACTGATGCACTCCCAGCATTAACAGAAGTAAACCTAGTGAGGTAAACATCACAGAGTCAAACACAATTCCAGTGCTTTCAGAAACTCTCCTGGGAACAAAAGAGCAGGCCCAAAATTCATAATGAATATTTAAGTCACCATTCCCTATCTGAACTGCCATTCTCTAACTGAACTGTGGTAAAAGCTAACTTGGCTCAGACTCTCAGCTACTGAAGCAGAGCTGCACAACTCTAGAAAGAAAAAGATACTGAAATATGGCTATCCTCATACTATTAACACTCAAATACATTTAAAAGTCTTTAGTCTGACTGGTCAAACTATTGTCTCATCTCAGCAATAGCCTCTTGTGACCAATTCAAGTAAAGTGTAGTGACCTTAGTGACCTCAATAACAAAAGTGTTCCATAGCCCATAAATTTAGATAAAAGTGATGTGTTGCTGTGTTGTGGATAATAGAATAGTTTAGTGCGAAGAAAGAAATCCTGTTCTTAAGTTTTACATCTCGAGGGGAGGATCTGAAAGAAGTTTGTAAAGAATTTTGCTTTAAGTAACATGCAGTAATTAATCCAATATTCAATTAAATAAAAATTAATTCTGAAGTTTTATGAAGTATGATCTTCAATAATAAGGTACTGACTGCAAAGGAATAATGAACAGCTGATTCCAGATGATATACAGTGAAGAGATTTATCATAAATATTACTCAGTCATCTGCTTTGAGCCACATTTGCAGCTGAAATAAGACTTCACCAAATACACCCAACCAACGCACAGAAAAGGTTGGGCTGGACTTTTTTTATGATTGAGTCAACAAAGTCCTTTTGTGACAGAAACTATTTCTTACCAGTTGTAAACCAGTAGGAAACCCTATATTCTAAATGAATTTGTGTTATCTGCATAGTACCTGGGGAAAGTTGATGTATAGTCTCTGTCTTACAAAAATAAGTAACATGCTACAAAAAGGGAATCAGAAAGCTACTGCATGAATCAAAGTCAAGACTTCTGGGAAAAGGCTAAGAAACAACTCTTAGGGTCAACACCCAAACCTGCAAAAACAACAAAAATTAAGTCAAAACAAGTAACATTAGTTTATCTTGTAGTTACCAAATTTAATGAAGAAATCAAACAGTAAAGACTATAGTCAATTTTCCTCACACTACTACATTTTTCTTTTTAAATTCACACAAAACAAGTGAAATCACACTTAAGAACAACAATAGAGGGATTCAACACTTTACTTGATGCAATAACAAACTATTCCAGGGATCAGGGACATGAAATGTCTAAGGAATCTGGCTTACTTTGCTTTACAAAATGAAGACATAAGACTTATTTAAAAAGTGGTTATGAACATCTAAAGGAGAAAATTTCAGCAAGAAAGGAGATGTGTTAATCCAATACACCACCAGAATCACAGGGTATCAATCACAGTAGATTGAAGGTGGACAGACACATGGTCCTGAAAATCATAAGAACAATATTCTGAAATAGCTGTAAGACTTAGACAAATATTTGAACCTGTCGATTTCTATTATACTTCTAAATCAGACCCCAATAATTGTAACTAAAGAGTTTAGCATGCAGGATGGTGCATTACACAAAAGTAACACTGTAAGAGCTAATCCACTTTTTCCCTATTTTCAGTTCTAACCACGCAAGTGTGATGCCTCTCCAGCAACTT